AGGGTGCACAAGCAGGGGAGAGGGACAGAGAGAGAGAGAGAGAGAGCAAGATTCTTAAGCAGCCTCCACATCCAGCACAGAGTCTGATGCGGGGCTTGATCCCACAGCCCTGGGATCATGCCCTGAGCTGAAATCAAGAATTGGGCTTTCAACCGAATGAGCCCCCCAGGCACCCCTGAAACTCTTCTTTCTAATGAACTGTGAGGACCTGTGTTTGTTGTATATAGATTAACCTTAGAAAAAGGTTTGGAAAATCTTGATTTTTGAAGACATTTTCATTGTTCAGCAGAATTTCCAGAAACTTTGAAGTACTGCTGCAAAAGAGATAACAGGTTAGGAACCATTGGGTGAGTGTGGCTCCTCAGCTTCCCTGTAGGAGATACACACTTAGATGGTGGTGCTGGTATTCTGGCAGTTAGAATAAAGGGCTGTCCTATTTGCAAGAATCCTTGAAACGTTTACCAAGCCTTTTATACCTGTATACATGCTACCTTGAAATCTTAAATGGTTACAAAGGCTGCCTTTGCAAGTTATGTCACCTGAATCTAACATCTAGTTCTAGGTGCGGTTTCCCACTATGTCACCAGTTTTCTTGCTACAACAGCTGAAAGATATGTGGTAATGACTATGCAAAAATACATGGGGAATTAATACAGCTATGGGGCGATGAGCAGTCAGTGAACATGTGTAGTCAGTTTAAGTCCTAGGTAGGAATGAGCACTGAAGTCCTGACCAGGCATACACATTGTATAAGTATACCATAATTTGCTAATTTTCTCTGGTAACTATAGATATCAGTAGTCTAACATTTTATCTAAAAGGTCTTAAAGGCGGTAAGTTTACTTTTAGACTGATTGTTTAGGCCCTAGACTTGGAATCTGGTGCTGTTTCCTCCTGTTAATCCTGTTCCCCCCATTGCTAATTGAAAGTACTGGTATTAGATTTTCTCATAAAAATTAATGCTTTCATGTTTGTCATTTTTTTTTAAAGTGTTTTTAAGTGTTTATTTATTTTGAGAGAGAAAGCACACACATGCCTGGGAGCAGGGGAGGGGCAGAGAGAGGGAGAGAGAGAATCCCCAGCAGGCTCTTATGCTGTCTTGTGTAGAGCCCCACGTGGTGTATTGATCTCGCAAACCGTGAGATCATGACCTGAGCCAAAAGCAGGAGTCAGAAGCTTGAGTGACTGAGCCACCTAAACACCCCTCGTGTTTGTCATTTGTACTTACTGTTGGTTTGTCTTCTGTGGGAGTTTACTTCACCATAAAAAGATAATGGCATCTAAGCAATACAAAATTACATTGCACCCCTTTGCATTATAAGGGCTGCTGATTTATAGGGGAGTGGTTGTGTTGTGAGCTGGGAAAGGGCGATAAGAGCGGGTACATTTAAAAGATGAAAATTTCCTATCATCCTGATGTTTTCTTTAAGAGGCTTTAATTTCACTGGAGTAACCTTATTGATGAATTTCATCTTTCCCTCTCTATTTAGAAAAGCATTCATATTTCTTGTCCGGAGGAAAACGCATCCTTGAAGTTTTTGGCACCATACACTACTTTTTCCAGAATTCATTCCAAGAGTGTAAGTATTTTGATAAAATGAGGAGAAAATAGGGACGCCTGGGTGACTCGGTCGGTTAAGCGGCCGACTTCGGCTCAGGTCATGATCTCACGGTCCGTGAGTTCAAGCCCCACGTCAGGCTCTGTGCTGACAGCTCAGAGCCTGTTTCAGATTCTGTGTCTCCCTCTCTCTGACCCTCCCCCATTCATGCTCTGTCTCTCTCTGTCTCAAAAATAAATAAATGTTAAAAAAAAATGTTAAAAAAAAAATGAGGAGAAAATATAATGGCATGTTATTTTTTCATTTTATCTGCTTGAGTGCTTATAGACATCCATAATTAATGTGCCTTTCATTTACTGTGCATTGTTAAGATAACACAGCTGAAGTGTGATTTTTGGCACAACCGGTATTTGGGTCCACATAGAATATGTACATAAATCCACTCACTGTTAATCTTAGAGAAAGGAATTGTCTGAAGTTTATTTATATATGTTTTAGCAGAGGTGCTTAGTGGTTTTTGGGTAATGCTGGTAACTGTGTTTGTATAATTTGTCACTGCTCATATTTCTGTCTCATTGCCGACAAGGCAGGGACATTTTCTCAAAATTCCAAGTACAGCATATTGAGGGATAATTTTCAGAGGTCGTTGTGATAATGCTCTTTCTACCATGGAAGCATAAATGAGAAATATGTGGATAAACAGATTATATTAAAACCTTCCATTTCTTATTTTAAAAATAGCTAGTTTTTACCCATATTATAAAAGGAACATAGATTTAGTAATGAAAATTTAGGAAATGTAAAAAAGGTGAAAAATCACTCACATTCTACTACTTGAAGATAACTAATGCGAACTTTTGGTACAAAGCCTGTATTAATAATAATTTTAGTAGTAATAGCTAACGTTTGCCTACTATGTGTCTGTACCATGCTAAGCTTTATGTATTATTTTACTTGATTCTCCCTGTCTTTTCTTTAAATATTTTATCAAAATAGGTTTTTACAGTATATGCTGTTTTATAACTTGCTTTATATTCCTTAGTAATATGTTATGTACATCATTGTACGTCACCTTTTTATATATTCTGTTAAGAACTGCATAGTATTCTGCTGTATGATTTTACCACAGTTTATTTTTTCCAATCTTACTGGACTTTCAGGTATCTTTGATTTCCTGATTTCATATTTTGATAGTATACTTAGAGCTAACCCTTTACTCACAAAGATAGGAAGAAGTTAGAATACATTGGTAAAATAGACTTGTCGAGTCACAGGAAATGCAAATTATAAAGCTTTTGGTATGTTTTAACTGACTTCCACTTAACTAATTTATTGAGCTAACTGTTTCTCTGCATTTTCCATATAAAACATACTGACTGATGCTCACAGCATATTCACGATTTATGAGCTCATTCCTGAGATCTGCATATTGTTGACACTACTGGTTAAGTTGAATGCTTACCAAGGATCAGTTATAATTCCAGTTACATTGTTTCTGAAATTATGTTAATGAATTAAATCTGTCCAACCAATGTAATATAAGTGAAAACTTTGAAAACTAAGTTGATTGCATTATAAACACTTGATAAAGGAGAGGATTTTTAAAAAACTGCTGTAATGATATGTGTAAGCAAAATAAATGCAAAATGTTAGGGAAAAGATTTTTTTTCTTTAAAATTTATTTATTTTGAGAGCAAGAGAGAAAGGGGGGGAGAGAGAGAGAGAGAGAGAGAGAGAGAGAGAGAGAGAGAGAGAGAGGGAGAGGGAGAGAGGAGAGACAGTGGATCCCAAGAAGTCTTCATGCTGTCAGCACAGAGCTCGACTCGGGGCTCGAACTCACAAACTGTGAGGTCATGACCTGAGCTGAGGTCAGATGCTTAACCCACTGAGCCACCCAGGCACCCTCTGTTTTTAGTTTTTTTTGAGGAACCTCCATACTGTTTTTCAGAGTGGCTGCACCACTTTTCGTCCCAGTCAGCAGTGCAAGAGGGTTGCCCTTTCTCCGCATCCTCTCCAGTACCTGTTGTTACTTGTGTTACAAATTTTAGCAATTCTGACAGGTGTGAGGTGGTATCTCATTGTGGTTTTGATTTGTATTTCCCTGATAACGAATGATGTTGAGGATAAGAGCTCTTATGTTAAGGGTATTGACCCTCTGCCATATATTTTTCAGATAGTTGCTTCTTACTATTGTTTATTTATGGTGTCTTTTGACATACAGATATTTAATATCTCTAGATAATAAAACCCAGCAACTTATTCCTTTATGGTAACACTTTTGGGGTCCTGCTTATGGTAGTCCATGATTTTTATATATTCACTTTGGGTGTAATGGTAAGCATAATGGGTAAGAACACCGACTTTAGGGATAGACTCATTTGATTTGCTTCTTTGGCATTGAATGTTGGTTCTGCCACTTACTAACTGTGACCTTAGGCCAGGTACTTAACCTCTGTGTGCCACAGATACTTTATTTGTAAAATAGGGGTAAAAGTAATATCTCATAGGGGTGTTATGAGGATTGAAACAGTTAGAATTCAGTCTGAAACATAGTAAGCACGATATAAGTGTTAAATACAATTATATAGTATTTTCTTTGAATGTTTTATTTTTTTACATTTCAAACTTTATTTTTGTTATTTAATTTAATTTTTTTTTTAAAGTAGGCTCCATGCCCAGCGTGGGGCTCGAACTCATGACCCTGAGATCAAGAGTTGCAGACTCTACCAATTGAGCCAGCCAGGTGCTCCTGTTACTTAGTTTAAAGTAGGGATCTAACTTAATTCTTTTTGAAGTGATTAGCATATCACAGCACTATAAAGTAATCCATCCTTTATCTCACTTGCTTGAATTGTCATATTTATCCAATATTTAGAATTATCCAATTCATCTGGGGGTTTTTTTGCCATAACTAAGAAATAGATCTTTAGCTTTAGACCCGGACGTACGTTTACATCCTGGCTCTGTTGTTTCACCTTGGCAATATTATTTAATCCCTTCTTAAACCCCAGATTTCTCAGCTGAAAAATACAAATAATACCTATCTTATAGATTTTTGAGCATACTAGATTTGGGTAGTGTCTGTTACATGTCTGGTACATAATAGCTATTCAGTAATGTTAGTTCCCTTTCCTCTTTAACAAAAGTTTGGAGAAAGGAGACAGTTGGTATGACCTATAATCGACTCTTCAATGTTCTCTCACTTTGGAAGAACTGAGTAGTTCAGATTCAACTAGTTTTTATATCAGGGAACTAGGTCCCCAGAGATATGTAACACACATAAGGTAACAATATCCCTGTCCCTTCCAGGGACAGTATATTAACTGAGAAGATACAATAGAATATATCAAAGTTTCTCAATCATGGCACTATTGACATTTTGAGCTCAATAATTCTTTATTGTAGTGAGCTGTTCCCCAAGTGTGACAAGTAAAAATGTTTCCAGACATCACCAAATGTGATAAGGTAATTTGCCCACGGTTGACCACTACAATATACAAACATAGTGCTGCAGACTTACTAAAGGAGGAAGTGATAAACTTTTTGGCAGAGTTGGGAGAACCTTTGAGAAGTAGGTAATTTTTTTTTTCCTTTTCTCTAGCTTACGTTATTTTAAGAATACAGTGTATAATACATATAATATAAAACATTTGTAAAAAAAATATATTTGTAATTAAATTTACTTTTTTTTTTTAAAGTAAGCTCTGTGTCCAATGTGGGGCTTGAACTCCCAACTCTTGAGATCAAGGGTCATGTGCTCTATTGACTCAGCCACCCAAGTGCTCCAAATTTACTTATTTTTATTTGAGTATAGTTGAAAGAAGGTCATTTAAAAAAATTATTAATTTTTCTATTTCTTATGCTATTTCTTATTATTTTTCTATTTCTTACTCTCCTTTTCTCTTATTTGAGTTCATCGGTAGGTAATTTATCCAATTATTAATCACCTGCTATATTCCAGGTACTTCTCTGGGCACTGAGACTACAGCAGTGAATAAAACTGTGATGTAGAGCCTACCTTCTTGGGGTGTAGAACTAGACATGGTTTGCTAATGATGTGGGTGTGAGATGTGAGAGAAAACGAGGAGAAGGGATGTTTCCAAAAATTTCCAAAGAAGTGGGTAAATAGTGGTGCCATTTACTAATGAGGTCAAGTAGTTGTATTGGTGTGGAGCAGGGAGAAATGACAGTTCTTTTCTGAACATGTTAAGTTTGAGGTGACCACTATAAAGCCAAAGGTGGACAGATGCCTAGGTGGCAGTTGGATAGACTACCTGAGTCAGGAAAGGGGTTGCGCTTTGTTGCTTTAGGGATTAATTCTATTTCAGAGAGTGAGTAGGAGAATGTTTAAATGTCTTTGTTTCTTGGGCCCTGCAAATGAGGACTGTGGTTGCTCTTATGGATATAGGTCAGATGGCTTCACTTTCCTACCTAGTGTTGTTTAGGTACTTCATTCCTTTTTTTTTTTTTTAATGTTTATTTTCGAGAGAGAGAGACAGAGTGCAAGTGGGGGAAAGGCAGAGAAAGAGAGGGACATACAGAATTTGAAACAGGCTCCAGGCTCTGAGCTGTCAGCACAGAGCCTTAATGCAGGGGCTTGAACTCACGAACCGAGAGATCATGACCTGAGTCAAAGTTGGATGCTTAACCAAATGGGCCACCCAGGTGCCCCTGAGGTACTTCACTCTTATTACCACACTGCTGTTGGTGGTATTTGTTGAGTTGTTACTATGTACGTAGTCTATGATTGTGTTAAGAAGGTGCTGGACACGGACGCCTGGCTGGCTCAGTTGGTAGAGCATGCGATTCTTGATCTCAGGGAAGTAAGTTTGGAGCCCCACGTTGGGTGCAGAGATTACTTAAAAATAAAATCTTTCAGGGGCACCTGAGTCATTCATTTGGTTGAGTGTCCGACTCTTGATTTTGGCTCAGGTCATGGTCTCATGGTTTGTGATTGAGCCCCATGTTGGGCTCTGCACTGACAGTGCAGACCCTATCTCTCTCTTCCTCACTTTCTGCCCCCCCC